GGGGGGAGCGAGAGGGCAGATTGGTGGCAGTAATTCCATTTTCCCCGAATTCACCTGGGAAAGTGGAATTGCCCTGTAAAAGATAAGGGCACATATCCATTTGGCCCTTTTGAGCTGACCTGATCCCTTTCTCCACCTGCACAGATGTATAAGTAGGGTCACCATACACATTACAACCTGGTGATACAATCAACTTTACCAAATCTTTGTGATATGAGGACCTACCTAATGTATCCATCAATTTGTATCCAATCAGACCGGCCCTTGAACTACATAGTTGTTTAAAGGAGATTGTGCAGTTGGATTGTAATGTGTGGGCCCGGCCTCCATTGTTTACATCTTGCACCAGACATCTCCTTCTCTTGGCCACAGTTGTGAGATACATCCCCATAGACTTCTATGGGTCTTATCTTCCTCCGTCTCCTGGCTAGAAGACCAGCCTCATATGGGAATTTATTACATCGGCACGGCCTGGAGAAGGAGACATCTGCTGCAGGATGTAAACAAACAATGGAGGCCGGGCCTATTGGAAGTCAGTAAATATTCAGCTGTGCAGGGGGAGGGAGCAGTGACATTATCTTAAAAGGGCCTGGAGGGTAATGGTGGCCATACATTGTATGATTTGCGTTCGGAAATCGTACAGGAACAGTCTTTCAAGCGGAAATTGAACAGTTGATGGTAATTTTTCTCTGACCAAATGAAAATCGATGAATCAGTGGGGTTTTCGTTTGTCAAAAATTGAAGCAAGAGCACAGCCCATGCGCAAAAAAGAGAAATTAATTCCATAGTTCATCAAAATTGGGTTGGTTAGTATGGCTAACAATCAATTTCCGAAATCGACATTTGACTATGCTTGATGGGGTATTCCAACTATAATTGAAGGAGGGTCCATGGCAGAAATGAAAATGTTTGACCAAGAATCTACTAGTGTATGGCCACCTTAAGTGTACTGGTTCTCGAATGTTTTCCACCTGTCAAATTTCCAATTTACGTCTCCCTATTATCTCCCATTTTTAGGGTGGCTCCATTCCCTTGCAGGGTCCCCTGGAATCACCCTTACCAGTACGCTATGAATGGCCCAATCCCAAAGCTGCTCCTACAGGGATTGACTGGCAGCTGTGGGAGGAGAGGCCAGCTTCAATTCCAAACTGTTAACACATGGACATGTGTTATGGGATAACTTGTAGTCCTGCTGTGGGTGTTCTCTGCCGTTTATAGTGCATACTGGAAGTTCGGCGGATCCGGAGAAAGTGACTGGGAGCATAGTATTTGTAAACACATTACGATATTTGTTTAGAACATGCACATGAATACTTTGAACCACGGGTTAGCAAACTGCGGCCCTACAGCTGTTGTGGAACTACAAATCCCATGAGACATTGCAAGATTTTCATAGCTACAGGAATGACTCTCGAGACAGATGCATGATGGGATTTGTAGTTTCACCACAGCTGGAGGGTTGGAATTTGCCCACCTGTGCTTTAGAACTCAAAAGGGAAGGTTTAATACTACTAGTAGGGCCTGGTCACACCAGATGTTTAAGGGCTGCGCTGACCGGTTTTTGGTTTGGTTTTTTTCCCAGCGCACCCCAACACACAGTCAAGGCAGTGTGCCTTGTTTTAAATAGTCTTAGTTCACGCCACGGTGTTGTGTGCTAAAAAACTTCTTGCATGCAGTATTTAATTTTTTTGGACACGGTACAAGCGCAGCACAGGGTTGCCGACAGAACTTAATGAAATGTCACTTGTGATATTTCAATAAAGTTTAAACGCAAAAAGAAAGATAAACGGTGCGATGCACCTGGATTGGCACATCAGCAGCCAAGCGTTCAGTGCGACTTGCTGGTGTGAACGGGCCCCGAGGCCCATCTCCATGTTGTCGGTTCTCCCTAATATTTTTACATGGATACGCAGACATCTCCTCTCCGTTCTGGTCTGGGGCCTCTTCCCCCTGGTGGTGGGTGGTCATTAATGACATGTGAGCACATTCTGCTGCAGTACTATAAGCTCAGGGTGGTGTAATGAAGCACCCTCAGGAGGTGTGTCCATGACGCCCACAGTGGGTTGTCACACTAAGGATGTCGTACAGCCCAAAAGAGAGACCAAAGAGGAGGCGGACTGGGCATGGAGAAAGGGAGCACTGCTGTGGCTACATTCACACGTCAGCATCGGCATCTTTGCTTGTTTTGCATGCGTTTTTACACGCCGTTGTTAGACATGAAATCATGCAGAAAACATGTCTTAGGGATGTTTTTCTGGTGTTCCCTTTGAAACATATTGGGGCCAAAAATAGGAGATCATGTCCTCAAGAAACGGCTGTATTTTTCTGAGTGTTAAGTGAGAGCACATCCCTCAGATGTGAACGGGCACAAAAGCATTGCATGGAAATCTCAGTGCCTATTGTTCAGATCGCTGTGATTGGGGGGGGGGGGGGGTCTCAGTCTCATCACTGCTTCTGCTAATGTAACTGAAACCCAACTCCAAATCTCTGGAGTTACAGGACACATTTGTGTCTCAATGGCATGAGCTGCAAGGTTTTGTTGGCAATACAAGGGCTATGTAAGAGATCAATGGTAAAAACTAACATCGAGTGTCACTTGTGCTAATCAGAATACGTGTAAGCACTATTAAACTCTCATACGTTTTTTTTCAATAATGAATTCATATCTATACATTGCCCAGCAAAGCATCGCTTGACATTTTTACCCAAGCTCATCAGGTTTCCAAACAGCTCCATTTCTGTCAGCTCAGTTTTCATGAACTCAGAAGGGAGGGAGCGGTCTCCTGTAACTGTTCATCTACTAGCTCGGAGAAGAGGGGGCAGTAAGGAGAAGAGGAGTGACTTGCCTTGTTATGCCTGTGTGTTTCTGGAGGCACACACAAGGGTGTCTGCATAGGACGCTGCAAAACAAAGGAGCCACCCTGAGGCTCCATTCACACTTAGCATTTGAATTCGGCACGTTTTTTTTTTCTCTGATGTACGCACATTTTTCTGTGCGTTTGCGGCTTCAACCACGGTCTTTTGGGTGACAGAACGCGCTGAAATCGCTCAGAAAATTATGTTTGGACTTTTTACCACATTCTGCGTTTTTGTGTGTGCGTATGAACGCGCAGGTGTAAACGAGCCCCATTAGAATGTATTGTGCCTATAGATATGCGTGGGGAAACCCTAATGTGTGAATGGAGCCTGAAACAGGATATCAGGGCCAGTGTTCAGGGGACCAGCTGACTCTGCAGGAAACTAAAACTTTTTAACAAGGAGCAGCCTCCATTGGAAGTGATTTTCATCAGCATTTGAAGTAGCTTAAAAAATATTTTGACTTTAATATCAATTTTAGTGAAAGAGAGTGACAATGGGCACACAAAAAAAAAGTTGCGTAATAACTGAGACGACTGTAACTTTGTGACCGTTCCTGTATTGCTGAAAACAGAGGAAATTGCATCAGTTTGTTGGTTGTATGAAGAATGGACAAGAATTGGATCTCTCTGAATTAGAAAAGATGTGGCCGTGTATTCCCTATTGGAAGGGGACCCGGAAATAAAAGTTCCCACACAATGAGAAGCCATTGCATGTGCTCAAAGCCATCACAAAGGAAAGTGTCATCTGAGAGGATGTCATTTTGTGTATCATCAGCAGTTGTGCTTACCCATCCTTCATGGTCAGCAGTCCCCGGCAGTCTGTTCACACAGATGGGTCAATACATATAAGCTTTTGCTTTCCATAGAGCTCTGTGGTGAGTCAAGTAGGCCAAGCGGAAGATTGAATAAAGGTTACAGAGATCTGGGGCCCTGATATAAGTTTGTTCAGGGGCCCAAGTACAATAATATCAAGTTCCATCACACCATTGGTTGTTGAATTGATGGAGTTGCTGTAGCTTTCCAGGGCTCACGGACATGTGATGGGAACATGAAAGGTGTATACTGGAGCTTTTCCCATTTCTGCCCATTCTGATGCAGTAGGTTACAGCAGGCCCATTACCATGCGTTGTATTAAAGGATAACTATGGGGTCAGGGCTTTTCCCCATAGTTAAACTAGAAAAAAACATGGTACCTGCATGAATCTATAACCAGCCTTTATAGCAGGGTGCACATTGGGAAGGCTTACAACAATACAAAACACAGAAAATCCCCAGCTCACCTGCCAGCTAGCCTGCCAGCTAGGTGAGCGAACACATACCGGCGTTCGCTCACTTCTCGATCCTGTCACGGCTCTCTGCCGTGACAGGGGCTGGATTCCCCCCTAGTTTGTGTCCTCCTCTTACCCTAAGGAGAACTATGAGGAAAAGCCTTAACCCCATAGTTCTCCTTTAAGGTGGTGCATGTGAAGAGCAATGATTACAGTTAACCTGTCATTGGGATCACCTTATGGAATTTACATTCTGCCCTTATAGTAAATCTCTTCATTTTCTGAGTGTCTGGGCTACTGTGTGCAAATGCTGACTTGAAACCCAAGGCCCTGTGTCCCTTTAATTGTATACACCTCTCTGTAGATTGCGAGAGGCTTGTGTGTTGGGATATGCAGGGGAGTGCCAGATCTGACTCGTGCTCCGAGCCACTGTCTGTATACATTACATCTTTTAGAATAAAATGCACACCTCTTAATAAAAGAACACCCTGGATATATCTATAACATGGTCAGAAAAGTATACTTTAAATTTAGGGATGCACTGATGCCGTTAGTGGCGAGTACTCACGCAAATGCTCCGATATCAGAACTTCCGGTCAGAGGAAGATTTCCTCTGACCAGCAGTGCTGTAGGGCAACATGAAGCCAGTTTCTCGGGCAATCTGGATGGTGGGCGGTGTGTATTGACCCACCTCCCGGCTTCCTGATTGGCCAATCAGCATGGAGCCGGCCAAACAACATGGAGCCGGCTTCCCGGGCAATCAGGAAGTCGGGTGGCATGTCATTACCCTCCATGCCAGCGGAAGCACCGGTATCGGCGAATACCGAAAGCAAAATATCTGTACCCGATAACGAAAAACCGGTATCGGTGCATCCCTGCTGCAGATGATCCTGGTGATGGATGTGTATATGGTTATGACCTTGGTGTCAAATGCTGTAAGGCAATGCAGTTACAAATACATTTTATAAATTGTATTTATGAACTTGTTTGAGTTAAAGCTTTATTCCATATTTTTATTTTATTATTTTACACTTGACGTGCACAATGGTGACCTCTGCCTGTTTGTTTCTCTCCAGCCTAACTATTTGGATCGGCAGATTTTAGTCCTAGGTTTGGATGGAGCCGGCAAGAGCAGTATAATCCATGCCCTGAGCACTAACAGCACCAGATCAAGTTCAGCACCTACTCACGGGTTTAACACTGCCCATATTCTCAGCCAGGGATTGAGGATTGAGCTACTGGAAGGTGAGGTCATACATCAGGAGGATATTTATATATGTGTATATTCACCTATACTGCCAATATAGAGGAATTTAGTGTCTTCATGATGATATATATATATATATTATATAGCCGGCTAGAACAGAAAGTCACAAGCTATGTAGTGACACACTGCTCCAAGTTTACTCCTGTCCTGGACTACACTCTCAATACAAATTAATAAAAATAAACATGAGACATTATTATACAGGATTTATATAGCGCCAACAGTTTGCGCAGCGCTTTACAATATAAGGAAGACATACAATCACAATACAAGACAAGATGGTAAGGAGGGCCCTGCCCCTGAGGGCTTACAATCTAAAAGGGGGAAGTGATACATGAGGAGGTATGAATTGTGTGAGAACGTGATGGTTGAGCGGTTAATCCATCACAAGAGTGAGCTGGGAGCGGTGACTACTTTACAACACACACAGGGACCATGGGGAAGAAAAGTAGCCACCCTCCAGAAGGAAGGACAGTGTCAGCACCAATTCAGAGATGATTTGAGGATCTACAGCCGAGTGATACACAAATAAGGTCCAGTATTGTTAATAGTTCAGGTACTTGAATGCATTTTGAAGATTTAATCCCTGAGTTTCGTGTCCGTTTACTTCCATCTGCTAATGGTGGTTTATGGAGAGGACAAGATATATTTTCCCTTTACAGAACTAGCAGCTGAAAGCCGGACAGTCAGAGAATTCCTTGTTCTTGATCATCCTATAGTGAGAGAAATATGAAGGCTGCCCTTTTATAAACTTTCTGAAAACACTCATTACCTGGCTATCTGTGGTTTCATTAGTTTTTGACAGACCTGGAACAAGCATGCATCAAGTGAAGTCAGAACCACTGATCTGCATATTTGTTTCTGGTTAGAAACTCTGCTAGACAACTAGGATGTTCAAAATGATAATTCAGGAATGTCCTGCCGTGTGGTTTTCTCATTGCTGGTTTCCTTGACCTTGGTATTCCAGAAATACAAGAATGATAGCAGAGCAGAACAATGCATCATAGTGTAGTAAATAATTCTTTCTTATTAAAACAGGAACAGTGTAGCAGGCTAGAGCCAGGAGGAGTTGAGCCTTTCCCACGATTTTTGCTCTGCTTCCTATCACTTTATTTTATGTAACTTAGACTGGAAACATTTGTTTCGTTTTAGGCCTTTTGTTTATTCTTTGCTGCCATTTGCTGGTCTGTCATTTATTAGTTGAATTGATTCATGAAGGCAGGCTAGTTTTGTTGTACACAATAAGGCTCTGGTGCCCAACATGTGGCTCTTTACAGACTCTAGCAGTCAGTAACCGAAGCATACATTGGAAAGGAAGCTGTAATGTTAGTGCTCTCTAGCAGTCTCGTGTAGCATGTCCCTGGCTGTCTCCTGCAGTGTCTCCAGCCTTCAACCACACCAGTTGTATGTCCAGTCTCTTTTGAAGTCTGCGACAGTCTTCTGTCATATACTGAATATTATTCGGCCCTTTGGAGCTGTCAGGGGCCACAGTTGTACCTCGTAAGTTGACAACCACTGCAATAAGGCAATTCTAATCCAATTCCACCTAGTGCCATTAGAGTGCTGTAGGTGGCATTTACGTTTTGCTCTTTGTTCCTGGATGACCCCAGTTTCTAGTATAAGGCCCGGTTCACACCTGGGTGTTTTGTAGCGCGTTTGAACGCTCTGCAAAACGCTCAAACACCGAAATCCCATTATTTCCTATGGTTAGGGTTCACACCTGGGCGTATTACAGTCTGTATGAACGCGCTACAAAACACCCTACGCCCAAAGAAGTACAGGAGCTTCTTTGGGGTAGTTTTTGTTGCGCATTTCCTTTGGGATACAGCCAAGTAGCCCTTGGAAACGTGCGTTTGTTACCGCGAATCGCGGTAAAAACGCGCATCACGAAACCCAGCCTAAGACTCTGCCAATTCTTCATTAATGTGACTTTTGATTTATTAAGGCAAAGTGCACCAACCCAAAGAGTAGAATTGTATTTTAATACTCTACAACACTGCAAATAATTGCTGTATGCATGCTATTAAATGGGACATATTGTTTCTTTTTATCACATTTATCCATGGCAGTAGTGGGGCCCTTTGTGACAATGAGATTATATCACATTTCCTAACATAACATGGAAGCAAAGGTTAGAGGATCTGCAAACACCTGTGTATATAAGATCTTTCTCTTGTCCACAGTTGGTGGGAGCCAGAACCTTAGGACATACTGGAACCAGTACCTGAAGAACGCACATATAATAGTTTTTGTAGTGGATTCCACTGATGACAAGCGCTTGCAGCTAGCTAGACAAGAACTACATCGGCTTTTGGAGGAGGCATCCCAGTTACCATTGATGGTGCTAGCAAACAAGCAGGTAAATATCAGCGGGATGCTTGCTGCACTAAGTTGTAGCCATTTATATTTTGCCCTACAAACACCTTATAGTGACAGGGTTCTAAGGCTAATGGAAGAAGTGGGCTTCTTGTGGCCTGGAGTGGAGTTGCATATTACCTTGTTTTCAGAAATGGGTTTGGTGCTTTTTTTGGGGGGGATTATATCAAATCATATACAAGATCCTCAGACATGCTTCTGAGTCTGTAATGTTGACCGATTTTATATCGGAAATGATGTAGAGTATTTGAAATCATTGTGGTCCTGCCGCATGAAGTGTGGTGTGCACTCACTTCACACTATGACAGGCTCAAAGGACATCTACTTGTGAAACTATTTAACTGCATTAACGTAATTTATCTTGTCCTTGCCCAGAGCAATGAATCTTTCATTATGGTGCACATTGCCAATACAATATAAAGCAAAATATCAGAAGTGACAGCATTTGTGTCCTATGTAAATGACAATCCCTGATTTTTCTTTCTTGTACCACACAGTGGTGGTCTTTTCCAGCTAGACCTTTATTGGCACATCTCCTATGGGCAGTTATAAAGTAATGATTTATATTAAGTGCTCATAGTGGCCAATAACAAATGAGACTTGCAGCTCCATCACTGAACACCATCAAAGTACAGCCTACTCGTTTTAAATGGGTTTTATTTTTTTTAAAAACTTGTATTTGTTTTTCTCATGCTTTCTTGTTAAAGAAAAGAAGTATAGATATATAAACATGATCTGTCCCCTCTTTGATAAATCATTTGATTTTCTGTAAACAAGCTCCTGTCAGCACAGCTAATGATGTGGAAAGGAGTCCAGTGCTCCACCTCTGCTGGCTGAATGGAAACCTTTTTTTTTTTTTTTTAATGTAAATTTTCTGTCTCTCTTGCTTTCTATTTGTAAAGCAAAAGGAGTATACAAGTAAACATTTATGTGAAAAAGAATTTCTGAAGCACTATGGGTTAACGAATGACAGTATAGCAGTGGAAGGTTGCTTTGAGCCTTTCACTGATAGAAACCTTGTATGCTGGGCCTGATGACTGGAATGAACTCTGTAAACAAGCTTCTAAATGAAAAGGAGCCCAGTGCTCCACCTGCTGGCTGAATGGAAAAATATATAGCATGTAGAGGTGCAAAAATGGAAATTGAATCTTCAGACCAAAACCAAAACAACAACAAAAATTGTCAGGTCAAAACCAAAACAAATTTCTTTCCTAACTTTAAAAAAAAAACATTCTAATAGTTTTTTTTTTTTTGACTTGACTATCAGGGGGCTTTGGGGAACTATGAGAGGTCTAAACAGATCCCTAATATTTCCCTTCTGAAATAGAAAAAGAGTGAGTACACAGTCCTAAATATTTTTTTTCCTGCAGCCCGTTATGAATGAACAGGAAGCCTCTATACTGAGCGCTCCTGTCCATCCATAAACTGTGGATATAGTATGAGTTACTATGTCCACAATCATGAATGCACGGGAAGTGATGTAAAGCACTTCCTGTTCATTCATAACTGGGGACACAAGCATACTATGTCCTCATTTATTTACAAACACTCAGCTGATTGCTGAACGCTTGTACTCTGCTCTCCATTCTGACTTGCTGTCACAGGAGGCTGAGCATGCAGTGCGGAGAGCAGAGCTCAGCCTCCTGTGACATGGCTGACAGCTCACTCCTCCCCTGCACCTCTGGCTTGGTTGCCTGTGACATCGCTCTCCTCGCCCCGCTCAGCCTTCTGAAGGTTTCTCTCCTCCCTGATGGACGCTGGTCTGTGTCAGAGGTGACACAGAGCTGCGCCCAGTGGGGAGGAGAGAAACTGAAAGAGGTTCAAACACCTTCCCCACGCTATGCAAAATATGGCTTTACATACGCATAGTGCCACATGAACTCAGGAATTAGACCTTTAAAATGCATTCAGGTACCTTTTTAACTATTTACAATGTATCTTATTTGTGTATCACTCAGCTGTAGATCCTCAAATCATCTCTGAATTGGTGCTGACACTGTCCTTCCTCCTGGAGGGTGGCTACTTTTGTTTCCCATGGTGTGTGTGTGTGTGTTGTAAAGTAGCCACCACTCCAAGCACACTCCTGTGATGGACTACACTCTCATGTTTAGTTTACTAATTTTGTTTTTAAATTGTAGTCCATCAAAGACAGGAGCGAGGTTGGAGTGGTGGCTACTTTACAACACAAATATGGACCATGGGGAACAGAAGTAGCCACCCTCCAGAAGGAAGGACAGTGTCGGTACCAATTAAGAGATGATTTGAGGATCTACAGCCAAGTGATACACAAATCAGCTACATTTTTGTTGATTACAGTACTAGAATGCCTTTCAAGATTGAACCCGAGTTTAGCGTCACTTTTCTTATTTATTATGCCCTCTGAAATGGTCACACATTCATCACTGTGAAAAAAGCGATATCTGGCACATGTTTAGTTAAGACAATGCTGGCTGGGTGCGACTGACAATTTCCGAGGACACATAGATTGATTTCTGAGTGAATCTGCCGAGACTGTTGATAGAGAAGGAATTGTTGCTATTTCATGGAATGAAATCATCTTTTTGCAACGTGCTCTACTCTCTGACATTTCCCTCCTCTTTCATTAGGATCGGCAGTCAGCACTTGATATCTCTGCTGTTCACTCCGAGTTATCTTTACATCGAATCCAGGACCAAAGAGAGGTGACGTTATTAGGAACCAGCGCTGTATGTGATGGGTTTGGTCAGAGTACCAGTTTACAGACTGTGAGATCACTGCTTGAAGAACGGCTACTCCAAGTGACAGGATCACAACAAGATCTCATCCATCTGCAAAACAGCTGCTGGCAGACCTCATTTGAAAGAGAGAAAAGTGCATAATAGGCAGACTTGTCCTGCTACTAACAAAAACCAAGCCTCTACTTGGTGGTAGGATTGACAACAGCCATGGGCACCAAGATGCAATCTCAGAGGGGACTGGAGGTAAGGGCTGGTCCCTGCTACACCCTCTGGCCTTCGAGGAAACACAACTATCTACTGCTGATAATTTATTCATTTTATAACAGGAGCCAAAAAAAGTTTATACAAGATTTAATAAAATATTACTTTGACATTGTCCTTATTCAGTGTTACAAATACACACATAAAATGCGTTAATTATAAGATATGTTGGTCACGGGTCTGTTTCATGCAAGGATGCGGCTTATTATTTCTGTCCGTAACTAAAATACATCAATAAAGGATGGAAAATGTCTACTCAAATCCCAGGCCACATAAGAGTCTACACAGAGAAGTGGCGCTCTCCAGCATTGTGTCACTGTTTTGTTCTTGATGCAAGCAGAGCCTCGTACTCCTGAGGGTGATGGTGCTTGTACAGTTTGATTTTACGTAGAATCTGTTTGGGTGTATCCTGGTAGTAATTCTGCTCATCTCGAGCCATTGCCTAAAACAGAAGGACGACAGTGTTAAAAGAGCAAAAACAATGTGTCCCTACTAGCACACTTGCACATTGCATTAACAATACATATTTTGTTTTACGCAGATCTATGATCAGGAATTTAGTACAAAACGAAGGAATTTGCGATCAATTAACAAGTCCTGATGTTAATCCATGCAAATTGAGGATATCATTGCTAAGAAGAGTAATTTAAACCATCAGAAATAGTGCGCCAAACAGGAAGGTTGCTTTAGTGCTTGTTCACACCTAATCCAGTGCCTTACAGCACATTTAGTGGCTGGAACGCACTATCACATAATGAAAATCTCCTGCGTTCTGGGGCATGGAAGTGTAAGTCAATGGCACTGCACCCATGCCTCCCGCCCTCGTGTCACAGCAATGCCTGCTGTCCAGGGAGCTTGCAGTATTTTTTTTTTAGAACGCACCAGAATGCAGGCATCGCTGTGCCACACGTTCTGGTGCGGGCGATCACACTGCAGGGTGGGAGGTGTGGCTGCGGTGCCATTGACTTGAATGCACCACCAACCGCCCCAAAACACAGACTGGCTGCACAGTGGCGTAGTGTTTAGCGCGTCTGCCTTGGCAGGCCACTATCTGCAAGGAGTAACAAGCATTATCATGTACTGTAGCATGGCAGTTTGAATGTTTACCCCATCCCCAGGGCAGGTATTATGCAAGAGGAGCTATCACAGGGCATAGAGAGGCAGCAACATGCACTAAAAGACTTGTTTGGCAAGGTAAGGTGCTGCACCTTGTTTTGTGTAACTGAGACATTTATGTTAAAGTGAACCTGTGCTCAATTGTTAGGTTAAAGAAGAACAAAAGGACACAGTTTTGCTGATCGTGAAACAGGATTTATATATTTTTTTTTTATTTGAATAGTTTTCCTGCTTTCTTTGTTAAAGGAACATGTGCTGTGCAATCAGCAAAATTGACTTAAACTTTTTTTCCCCCAGTTCTGGATAGAATATGGTAAGAAACCCTGTCAAGCTTTTATTGCTCTCTTTGAGAGATTGTCCTCGCTAGTTGTTCTGCTGACAAATGTCACCAAGACTAAGGGCCGGTTCACACCATAAACAGTGTGGTCCACAGCAGGCAGCCTCGCATTCCAGCTGAATTTCTGCATTCAGGGGTGGGAGAAATTAATGGCACAGCAGCGACGTCCCCCTTACCCAACCCGCCCGCAGTGCGATAGCCCGCACCAGAAGGCATTGCATATCAGTGCCTGCATTCCGATCCAGTGCGATCTGCAAAAAAAAGTGCTTAATGCGCCGCCATGCCCCCTCCCACCCCTGAACGCAGGAAGGCGGCCGAAATGCAATACAGTGCGCTCCAAAGGCTGACTGCTCTGGAACGCACTGTTTATGGTTTGAACCAGCACTGAAGTTGAAGGAAAATTCCAGGACAGGAAATCTTCCCATGGCCAGTCATTCCAGTGAGAACTGTCTAGGAGGGGATTTCTCTTACTTGCTTTTGGGGCTACAGGACAAGAAATTAATTGAACATAGGTGTTGAAAAGAAAACCCGAAGGGGCTGTTACCATTTGCTACTCTACTTTTACTTTAGATATGTTTATCGGAAACGAGTTATTAAAGTATAACTTTGTCTTGTACCTTGTGATCTTCACCATAGTTTTCCACCATGTGCCGAACATACAAAATCATGTCGTTAGAGATGCCCATAGTTCTTTTCGATGGCAGGCTGGCAGCAGCTTTCAGTTCTGTAACATAACATTAGTGAACACAAATCCAATTTTACCAAAACAACTTATTTTTTTCTCTCTAAACAAAGGAAGTTAATGCTGGGACGATTCCTGCTTTCTTATTTCCTGTAGTCCTAGTAATAGGGGGAGGCAGAGAGGTATTAGACCTTCACTTCCTCACCTAGACATTTACACTACATGGAATTTTTTGGGTGCCTTGTCTAGAGGATTCCACATGATGACATCAAGTGGTACATTCTTGACAGGAAAACTGAAAATCCTCTAGCTTAAAAGGAGAACTATGGGGAGAGTGAAATACACTCATCCCCATATTTAGCACCAATGTGTGACACTGCAGCTATCACAGGTCAGCTCTATCGATCAAGAACTGATCACAAACCATAGATCACTCAGTTCCCGATCTTCTCCCTGCAGAGAGCAGTGACTGTCAGTCACAACTCCCCACAGAGAGTCCCTGCTGACTAGAGGGACACACAGGAGAGGGGGCAGAGCCAGCTGTCAATCAGGTAGCAGGGTGGATCCCAACAATATTGTTGGGATCTGTCGCGGCTCTGCGCTGTCAGCATACAACGGGCAATAGCCCGCTATAAGCTAAGTGTTGGGTCACAGGAAGACAAATAAATGTCCTCCAGTGACTCAAAAGAGAACTAATGCCATATAAGGTTTGACCATAGTTCTCTTTTAAGGAAAGTCAAGGTGGCCCCAATAGACTGTGATTTCTAGACCTCATCATATCCTGTATTTAAGATGTTACAGAATAACACTCCTGTACTGCTACAGAAATGTCTGGGGAAAACATGATCTGCTGCAATAAACACCACTATTCACTTTTATTTCAGTGAGGCTCTAATGATTCATTATATTTTAAATTAAGCCAATGTCAATATTTATAAACAGATCTGCAACAATTTTTAAAAGGAGAATTATGGGGTGAGTGAAAAACACTCATCCCCATTATTCAAGTTGACCTGTGACACTGAAGCTATCACAGGTCGGCTCTATTGATTGGGAACTCAGTGAACACATATCGCCGATCTCTGACTTCCTGATCATCTCCCTGCAGAGCGCGGTGCCTGTCAGTCACCCCCCCTGGAAGTACCCCCCCCCCCCCCGTTTCTCCAGCACTGACTGAAGGGACGGATTGGGGAGGGGTGTGGTCAATCAGCCAGCAGGGTGGATATCAACAGTATTGTCAGAATCCATCCCAGCTGCGGAGCGGCTCTGCACTCTCAGTATGTAGTGGGCATTAGACCGCTATATACTAAGTTTTGGGTTACCTGAGCACATTAGTATATGCCCTCCTGTGACCCTGAAGAGAACTAGGGGCGAAAAAGGTTGGCCCATAGTTCTCTTTTAAGTAGCATTCCTGCTTCCTAATGCTACAAAGAAAAATGTATTGCAAGTTGTGTATGAATAACAAACCTCTCAAGGGGTATATGAGGGCTGCAGGTTTTAGCAATTTGCTTTGGAACTGCTGGTATGGAAAGGTATCTGCAAAATGTCTGTGTATCTGTGAATTTTATCATGTTTGCAGTGTTCCCAACACAGGCATTTCTAAAGCTGACAACTACAGGGACAGCTTGTCAAGATGCACATACAAAAAGTCTGAGCCTTTTCAGCACCAGAGGAGAGACAAATGCTGTCATAGTTTGTTACATTTCACAATTCATACATTTGCTGCCTACATACACTTCAGAAGAACACAACCGTGAGGTCAGACTGACATCTTACCTTCTAATACATAGGGCTTTCGAACTCTGCTCTGTTCACCAATCACCTACAGTAAGTCAGAGAACAAATAAAACACTAAGTTACAGTTAAAAATATACATAGATGTGCTTCCATCTTTAATGTATTTCACCAACCTATTGTGTCCATGTCTGTGTGTAGCTTTCTCTTGCAAAACAGGAAGAAGGGAAATGCTCTCCAGTGACAAGAAAGGAAAGCATTTAAAAGGAGAACTATGAGATGAGTGATTTCCACTCACCTCATAGTTCTAGCCGACCTGTGACAATGAGACTGTCACAGGTCGGCTCTGTAGATCGGGAGGTGAGCGAACACATACATGTGACAGGGGGAGGGGCTGGATACCCCTCTCCCCGCTCCGATCTGCCAGCGCTGACTGGCAGAACGGACGGGGTAGGGGGCGGGTACAGCTGGCTCTGCCTCTAGATAGGCAGAGCCAGCTGTCACTCACGCAGCTGGGCGGATGTCGACATCGATGTCGGGATCCGCTCCGGCGTCTCAGTATACCGCGAACTGTAGCTCACGGTATACTGAGCTTAGGGTAATGGGAGGACGCTAGTTTGTGTCCTCCCGTTACCCTAAGGAGAACTATGGGGGAAAAACACTGACCCCATAGTTCTCCTTTAACTGTTCAATCACCTCAAATGTGGCTTGACCAATGAGAATTTCTAAAAAGTACTTTTTATTGCTACTTGATTTTTTTAATAGAACATAGCGATGGAATATGGGTAGTCCTTCCTCTCTTAAAGTGTTTAGGGACATGAGATCAGTGCTGCCCAATTCAGCTGCATCTGACAACTATCGCATATTTATAAAGACTTAGCAAATACCACTGGCTGAGATCAGCTGGCGCCTGAACTGCTTGTCCCGGGTGTCACACAATAGGAATCGCCCCCCCTGATATACATCTACTGATGATCAGACCTCATCTACAGGTCTGGTTGATGCCAGTGTGTGATTTTTTTTTTTTTATGGGGCCTTAAATAATGGATCAAGATCAAACAAATATAAAATGTTCAGCAAAGTATTTCTTTAAGTTTCTGCACAAGCACTTACAGTCATTATGTCTCTGAACAGCTGAATCCAACTCTCAGCTTCCCTGAACTTTCTGTGCAGTACAAGATCACAAGGGACAAAGCATTCTAGAGCAGTTGTCCATCTACTAGCTCGGTGAAAGGAAGAGGGGGGGGGGAGCATGGGGGTGTCTTTCCCTGCTGTGTCTGTGTGATTGTGAAAAAAAATGTGTTTCTCACTGCACTCCTTACCGAATCTCTAAAAAGATATATAAAAAACGGGTGCTAGTAGTGACCACGGAGGTGCCGTAAAATGTATAAAGTAGAGAGATGTCACCAGCGCAGCAGATTTTTAAATTAAGCAAAAGTCCATTTTAATGACAAGCAATGCCTTTCAGATAGCAAGTACTTTCGAGGCCTTGCAGTGGTCCACGTCATTCTGAGCATGATGACGTGGGACCCTGCGAGGCCCCGAAAGTACTTGCTATCTGAATGACAATGCTTGTCATTAAAATTGACTTTTGCTTCATTTACAAATCTGCTGTGCTGGTGACATCTTCTCTCTACTGCGTGATTGTGAAGGCACACACAGCTTACTAGCACACACAAGGGTTGTTCCATAGGACCCTGCAAGGGAAAGGAGCCACCCTAAAACAGGATATCAGGGCCAGTGCTCAGGGGATCAGCAGGAAACTATAACTTTTAAAAATCAGCGAGCAGCATTCAAGTGATTAAATCAGCATTTGAAATAGCTTAAAAACCTTTTATACATTAATATAACTTTAAATGTTAAGCCATAAGAAGAGTTAGTGTTAGAGAAGTTCCTGTATGCAACAACACTACATAGACGGAAGAGATTTACTATTTCTCTATAGAGATTTCTCTATAGAGTGGAACGTCAAGGTGCTGCTCAGAGCAATCAGATTCTTTCACTTTTTAACCCTCAATAAAAAAACAAAACCATTGTGTGAGCTCTGACTGATTGTTAAGTGGATACCTTCATATTGATTTCCTCTGTCATGGTAGTATGACTATTTCTAAAGTACAGGTGTGATTTCAAGATAATGATTTTTCCTACACGTGATCACATTTATGTCATAGCGGAATATTTGGTGCTTACTGTGCGTGGACGTATCGGCAGAGCTTTGTTGGGGTCTGCAGCCAGGCCCATCTCAGCCATGTTTCCAGCCACAGATTTTGAGTGATTCCAGGCATTTCTGATCTCATCACTGCACATACAAAACACAAAACATCTTTACAAATATGTTGCTGAAGGAAACAGCAGGACGACGATAAGTACGTTAGAAAGGATCATTAACTGGCAGGAGGTGGCCAGTGCTGAATACCTTGGTCATTGGCATCCCATGTCTGCTAGTCAGGCCTTCTAGTAGAGATCCAATAGAGAGGTGTAAAATACAATGTAACAAAACCCTCTTCTTTTTTGAAACTTAATGTGCCAATACACTATACGAATTTCACACTGTTCTTGATGGACAGCTGAAATTCGCAGTGGGTGCCGGTGTCCGCACCTTTTTGGCCAGCGTACCTCGATCAGCTGATCGAAGGAGACAGTTGGAAAATCTTAGAACAAACCGAGCCGGCAGCTAATGAGCTGCCAACTCTGTTTGGGTATTCTGACAGCGGCCGCTGTTGGAATACAATAAAGACAGCGGGAGATTCCTCGATTAACGCCAGTAAGCATTGATGGAGGAATCCGTTATGTTTTCATTGTCCAGTCCGCAGTATAAACGAGGAAAATATTACAGTGTATGGGCAGCTTTAAAGTGTATGTCTGGCAAACACCTATTTTCTTGGTTTTGGATAGAGTGGGGAGGGATTCAACCCCCGTCAGGTTTTTACTGGGTTCTAGGTCTCCGAGAGATTTCACCTTACGTCTTGACATGCTGAGGTTTTGCCAAGAAGTGAGGGGAACGCTCTAACAGCAACACAGACAGAAATACAAATAACTTTCTTTAGAAGAGTGGAGGAAGGCTAGATCCTTGTCAGGTTTTAATTGCTGTATGTTTTACAGATTTTCCTTTACTTCCTGTCTGCTGAAACCATTGTCAGCGGGACAGGAAGTACATGGGAAATGTCTCTAACAGAGCCTAGATAAAAAAAAAAAAAAAAAAGGAAGAAGACAGGAGTTCTAATCCTGCCCTACGCTATCCGATGGTAGAAAAAAACGTTTTTGGTTTGACAAACTCCAGAATCACAAGATTCTTACTACACTTATCATTATGCTCCCAATCCAGGGAACTGCAAAGCTCTGTTCCTCGATGTCTCTGATTTTGGGGAAGGAGGGTGGCAGCCAGTTAAAATTCCCAGACAACTAATTCTAGGTGGAATTAGTTGTCTGAAATCTACACAAAGGATGAAAGCATGCCAAAGCTAACTTCCCCACAATTCTTTAATCATGATGTCTCCTTTAGGCTTTGCCAACACCGTGACTGCTGAGATAACTTTTTCTGCACACCACCGCACATGTATAGCGTGAACAATTGTTTTCTATGTGCCTTGCTCACACCATGCAGGTGCGGTGGTGTGCAGGAAAATTCAGCCTAATGAACATGATGTGGTAAAAGTCCTAAAGAAGATCTGCAGGCAAAACCTTTGTTTTTAGTTTTGGAATAAGTGGGGAAAGGTTTCTGTCAAGTTTTATATTGCTGTTTGTGTGGTGACCATTGTGACTGAAAAAGAAAGTGAGAAGTCCAAAATTTTAAAGCTGTCCCCAAAACAAGAAGCGAGGGGAAATCTTCCAATGGGAGCACCTCACTTTGTTAGATTTCTTCTAACTTCTTGTTGCATCTCTTGGATAAGAAGGGTATAGCTCCCCAATTGCCCCCTTCCCTACTCTATACAAAAAAATATAAAGAAAAGTTTTGGCTGTACAATTTAAAAAATAAACGCCACTTTCTGATCATGTTTCACCCATATTCAAAGTGTAAAATAAAACATGTTCACATTGCAAACACGCCCCCCTCCCTTCCCTCAATAGCAAAGTTCTTCTCCTATCAGGCTCTTGTCATTTTTAATTTGTCTTAGCTCTGCCCCCAGAGCCGCATCATAGTTCTCAATGGAGTACATGAGCGATGATGTCATTACTCACAATCCATTGATACTTCCTCCAGCCTCATCATAACCAATCTCTGTACTGACCTGGGGTTAGGAGGAAGCGTCTGCAGGAACCTAAGCATTGCACCCGCTATCCACTGATCATGGTAGCAATGCTTTGCAGGCTCAATTAGAAATAAATAAATAATATTGATTTATTTACGTTAGGTTCTTCTTTTATCAATTTTTGGGAAACGGTGAACGTTGCCTGGAAATCTGACCCTTTGCTTCCCCTGTAAATGGATATTGGCAGACTGGATTAAAGTCTAATCTAGGACTCATCAGTTTAGTATTCTCCCCGTCCTCACCATGCGATCCTCGGCGCTGCTTTCTTCCTAGCTTTGTGCTTCAGCTTCTTCCTATTCACACTGTAATTAAACGTGTTCTTCCGAGTCTTCCTCACCTTCCCCATCTTCTTCCTCTCACCACGAACACATGGGCGACCGAGCAGCGGGCGCACGGCTCTGACGTCACGCGTACTGACGCTAGGGCTTCTGGGATATGTGGTGCAAATTTGACCAAAGGATGGCTCTTCCGGTGGTATACACACATTCAGCTTTGGCTAATAATGTAATGCCGTGCTGTACAATGTTTTGTATATATTTGCCAGGTTAGGCTACTAGAGAGACACTGTTGTCCTGGGAGCCCCTTTGGGATGTTGGCTAGTTTGTATTCATCGGCTACATTATATTGTTGTATTTCGGTGGGTTCTATTCTAGGTCATGTTCTCACCAGCAGGCACGTTATGTTATGGTCACTGGTGTGCACTACGAAGGGAACGTATGGACGCACATATCTGGGCACTGTTAGAAATTGATACTGTGGGCGGGGCTGGGGTGGGTGTGTGCATTAAAAAAAGTGGGAGGGTCTTAATTTATAGGTTTAATGTCTACAGAATTGTGGCTAGGCGGGAGCCAGGTGCACTGTGTGTACACCATTCCAGTTCACTTGGCTCCCACCATTCCACTGACCCTGCACCTGGCTCTCAGCTATCCGCCATTCCAGACACACTAACAGTGTACATGGCTGCCAACTACAATCACTGTCATGGTGGATAGGTGAGAGCCCAGTGTACACATCATTTCAGTGACATTGACTGTGCCTGTAGTTAGCAGCCAGGTGTCCTCCTGCTCAGCCCTCCCACGCACTCCTCCATCACCCACTCACTTTCAATCTCCCGTTCACTCCTTTTTCATCTCCTGTCCACTGTTTTTTCCGTCCACTCCTTCTTTGCCCCCCTGCCCACCCCTTCTCCAGCTCCTGCCCACTCCTCTTCCCACCCACTCCTCCATCTCCTGCCCACTCCTCTTACTGCCATCTCCTTCTCTAACTCCTGCCCACTTCACTATCTGTCCACTCCTCTATCTCCTGCTCACTCCTCCTGCCCACTCCTCTACCTGTCCACTCCTTCTCTATCTCCTGCCCACTCCCCTTCCCACCCACTCCTTCTCCATCTCCTGCCCACTCCCTTCCCGCTCACTCCTTCTCTATCTCCTGCCCACTCCTCTTCCCTCCCACTCCTTTTCTACCTCATGCCCACTCCTCTATCTCCTGCCCACTCCTCTTCCCACCCACTCCTTTTCTACCTCCTGCCCACTCCTCCATCTCCTGCCCACTCCTCTTCCCGCCCACTCTATCTCCTGCCCACTCCCCCTTCCCGCCCACTCCTCCATCTCCTGCCCACTCCTCTCTCTGCCCACTCCTCCATCTCCTGCCCACTCTTCTTTCTGCCCACTCCTCCATCTCCTGCCCACTCTTCCTGCCCACTCCTCTTCCTGCCCATCCCTTCTCCATCCCCTGCCCACTCCTCTATCTCCTGCCCATTCCCCTTCTCGCCCACTCCTTCTCCATCCCCTGCCCACTCCTCTCCCCGCCCACTCCTCTATCTCCTGCCCATTCCCCTTCCCGCCCACTCCTCCATCTCCTGCCCACTCCTCTTTCTGCCCACTCTTCCTGCCCACCCCTTCTCCATCCCCTGCCCACTCCTCTATCTCCTGCCTACTCCTTCTTTGCCCCCTGCCCATTCCTTCTCCATCTCCGGTCTTCTTAAAATAAACGCCGATGTGTACATACATTAGTACATCATTACACGTATTATTCTTTTTAGATGAAAGCAGTATCTTTATTATTGTACAGCAGAGCTCAGGCTGGGGGAGAATAAAGCAGCACAAGGAGCCAATCAGATATGCTGCTGTGTAAGGAGGTGAGAGCAGAGTGACAGAGAGATGAGCTAATTTGGCATGCTGCTTCACCTTTCATTGGCAAGTCACAGAGTGGTGGAGACCTGTAAGTGAAATTAAATCCGCTGTAGAGAAAAATTAGGTACTATACTCTGGCACACAGGGCTGTGCTGTGTAACAGAGCTGTGTAAAACTTAGGACAGTATGAAGAGAAATACAAATCCTATGGCAGATAAATACAAGCTCCTAGCCTCAGTTCAGACTCGAGCTATTCATTTTTGGAGTGCTTTTTAATGCGTTTCTACATGCATTTCTGATGCATTTTGATGCGTGAGTGTTTTTGTTTTGAAACAAGTTACTAGGTGGAGCAGACTGATCGTCAGCTGCCTTACGTGCAAAAAAATGCATGTTACGCGTGTTTTCAGACTCCCGTATTTAAGTGCATGGTTGCAAATAGGGATGCACTAATACCGATACTAGTATCGGTGCCAATACCGAGTATTGGGGCAAGTACTAGTACTCTCCCAAATGCTCCGATACTTTCCCCGATACCAGATCTTCCTTTCAGTGATCATGGAACCGGCTTCCTGATTCGCCTGGAATCCAGCTCAATGCTGTTTGGCTGGCTCAATGCTGATTGACTGGCTTCCCAGCCAATCAGCGCAGAGCTAACCAAACAGCAGGAAGCCGGGCGGTGGGTAATGACCCGTCGCCTGGCTTCCTGATTGGCTGGGAAGCCGGCTCCAGGCTGATTGGAAGTAAGTAAGAGGAAATCTACCCAAAGTGAGGAAAGCCCATCACTTAAACCAGCGGTTCTCAACGTGGGGGTCGCGACCCCATGGGGGGGTCGATTGACTATCTGCCGGGGGTCACCTCGCGGCCCCGGGAAAGGTCTGCTCCGCGTTTTTTTTTCCTGACATCGGAGCATCGTAACTCAGACATCGTAAATCGGAGGAAAAAAAAAAACTTTCTCCCCGGGCAGGTTCGCTATGCTCGATCGAGCATCGAGCATAGCGAACCTTTCTCTGCTTTTTTTTCTCCTGACATAGGGCCGCAGGCCGTAATCAGTGAGAGAAAAAAAAAAAACCCATAGGATCACACAGCTAGATTCCTATTGGCTATTGCACTTTGCAATAGCCAATAGCAAACTGGCTATTGAGCCTGCCCTCTACTGCTGCCAATTAGCAGATGTTGTATTCCTCTGTAGCTGGCGTTATTCTGCGTTGCACCGTATAATACATTATACAGCACACTGCAGAATACCAGCAGCTTTAGAGGACTACAAATCCCAGCCATAATAAATTATACGGCGCAATGGAGAATAACGACAGCTATAGAGGACTACAAATCCCAGCAATAGTACCATATAGTATAATGTACTATTGCTGCGATTTTCTGTATTCCTCTGTAGCTGGCGTTATTCTGCGTTGCACCGTATAATACATTATACAGCACACTGCAGAATCCCAGCAGCTTTAGAGGACTACAAATCCCAGCCATAATAAATTATACGGCGCAATGGAGAAGAACGCCAGCTATAGAGGACTACAAATCCCAGCAATAGTACCATATAGTATAATGTACTATTGCTGCGATTTTCTGTATTCCTCTGTAGCTGGCGTTATTCTGCGTTGAAAATACTTTTACTGTTAGGGGTTGCCACAACTTGGGCAATTTTATCAAAGGGTCGCGGCACTAGAAAGGTTGAGAACCACTGACTTAAACAGATGTCACTGCAAAAAGTGTCCCCATTGGAAGATTTCTCCTCTATTACATTGCCGCTGAGGTGGCTCCATACATTTTTGCTCTTTTACTTTGGGAGCTAGAAAATGAATGTCACGATTGCTCTGTGTGCGGCAAACTTTGTTGCGGCAGCCCCTGTGGTTCATGTGCAGTAACATTCTTAGAGATGACAAATATGACAGTTCATGAAAATGCTACTTGCTTGACTGTCATACTGACCCACTGACTTGGGTCAGTCACTATGACCCCACTGACTGACCATTGTAGGTCAGAGATGCCATGTCAGTGAGTCTCTGACCTGCAACAGTTTTGCAGTTAGAACTAGCAGCAGGCACACTTGTTTGAGAGTTAAATTACATGACAGCCAGGCAAATAATGTTTGGAAGATGGTCATCACCAACAGGTCTATTCACAAAAGGGTGAAGAGTTTGGAGAAGGCAGGAGAAGTGAACAATCTAGCTGATTTGTAAAAATTCCCCAATTCAGCTCACTTTCCAGTTCAGCTATGTTGTCCTAGATTGATCACTTCTCCTGCCTTCTCCAAACTCTTCACCCTTTTGTGAATAACCCTGTTAATAAATACTTTTTTTCAATGCTCCCCAGCTCCATCTAGTGGTCATAATGTATTATTACAACACACTACATGTAAACTGGGAAAAAGAACATTTATTTTTCCGCATTATTTTCCTATAACAAACATTCACACATATTCACAGGGTGAAGGTCCCGGTAAATTGTTTATAAATAGACAAGAGTTAAATGCTTAGATCCTTAATTCATCGCTGACTTTATCTTCTTGTATTGGTGAGCCTGATGCCTTTCATTTCTTGTTCTGGTGTTACAGAGGCAGAGAGTGTGGAAATGTCTTCCCAGTGGGCACACAGACAGCAACAAAAACCTGCCACAATTTCTAACCGTTCCTTACTTTATGCTAAACAAAAACATTTTGGAGAGCGTACGGATTTTTAATAGGGGGTCAGGGGGTGTCCAGCTCAATATATAAGAACACATGACCAGTTGTAGGGAAGAAGTATCTTTATTACATTGCAGTACATGAGCATTAACAGGAATTAGCTAAAAATCACTTTGCAGTAATAAGTGTTTCTCTCTCTTCTATGCTTTTTTTGCTAAATCGAGATTTCACTTTTTCTTTGCCGCAATGTTTTTACATATCCAGTTCATTCCATCCTGCATTTGAAGGAAAGACAAATAGCATTAATATAATTAATATAAATGATAAAGTGACACTAAACTCTGGAGTTAAATCTTAAAAATACATTCAAGTACCTTAACTATTCACAAAAATGTATCTTATTTATGTATTACTCAGCTGTAATATCTCTGATTTCATGCTGACACTGTCCTTCCTTCTGGAGGGTGTCTATGTTTGTTCCCCATGGTCCCTGTGTGTGTTGTAAAGTAGTGACTGCTTCAAGCTCCCTCCTTCGGGGGGTTGGACTACAATCTCAGTACAAATTAGTAAATTAAACGTGAGATTGTAATCCATTACAGGAGCGAGGTTGGAGCTGTGGCTACTTTACAATACATTTTCCCTGATTTGGCTGCTAGAATATCGGTGTTGAGAGTTTTATAACTGTTTAACTGCACCCCTATGTCTGTGTTTTACCTTGCCTGCATTTTGTCTAAAGCCAGCCCAGCATGTCAGTTTGCATAAAAGTCAGTGTGTTAGAAGAACCATTATTTTATTTGAATTTTGCAGCAATTTTCTAGCATAATACATAATGTTGCAGTACACACTAATAATATATTACCTGGATCCCTTCCCCAGAGAGGCCAGAGCATGCTTGGATCTGCCATGTTCGGTCACGGTATGTATGCAGGTTGAGTCCAGCAGCAATGTCTGCAGCAGGGGCTGCTGTCAGTAAATCTTGCTTGTTTGCAAACACAAGGAGAGGGACACCCAGCAGGTTATCCTCTTCAACCAGTTCTGCCAGTTCCTGATGAACAAAAGATTTGTCCATATAATATGGAAGATTCTCACTATTTTTAGGGCATATATGAAAAG